CCCCCCCCCCCCCCCGTCCGTCCGAGCCCCATTTTCATTATTTCATTATAGTCTTTATTCTCATGTTACTGACTGTCAGACGAGGCGAATCCGTCACTCTGCGCATTAGTTCAGACGAAGTTTCGCATTAAAGGGAAGTCGTAGAGAGTGAAGTGTTACTTTGTTGCAGTGTTTGATTAATTTAACTCGGCTGTTTGTCTTTGGCTGAAGCGTAACTTTTTTTCCCGAAACACGTGTGAGGTGACTATCGGAGTGAGTCACAAATAAATAAATAACCAACGACTTGAAAAACCTAAATAATTATATAAACGCAATGATGTCAGTTTTCAACCATTTCCCGTCAACACCGTGGTTCAGTGGTAGTCTACATTAACTATTGTATTCAATAAACATGACAATAATAACGTGTTCATTTCTGCTACAGCAGTCCCATTATAGAACAGAACAGACCAGTAACACATAGAAGCAATGCTGCACCGCTGATATAGGCTACAGGTCAGCACCGTTTGAAATGGATACCGTGTCAGTAATAAGCCTTTAAGTGACAGAGCGTGAAATGAAACAATCGTCATACACAGGACGTCACTTCACCAAACATATTAATCTAATAGGAACCATACATTACTATTAACACGTCCTGGAGCGGCTGCATGTCCATTATGACTGTCATATCTTTTCATCCAGTGCACCCTAGGAATCATGCGCCTGAGTTTTTTTTTTTTTTTTTTTTTTTTTTTTTAATACGCAGTTACCGCGCCTCGAGCTCACATCACGTGCGCACAGCCCCAGAATCCACGTGCCGCGCTTGATTCCCATCACCCCGCCCCTCTCGGTTGTTCCTCTCCACCGTGCGCACTCTGCTCGCGCTCAGTTTGCACGGGGATTCCTCTTCATTCGCCGATAGCTTGGTCAGTGGGTCAGAGAGGTTTAGCAGCCGTTTCTTTCGTCCTGGTTACTAGAACTGCTTTGTTTAATGGTGGTTATAGTGGACCACATTATTGATGTTATTGTTTGGTATATAAAGGGACATATTAACATACCTTTGGTTGCATTCAAACCGGGATTTGGGTGACATGACTAACCTGTCCCTGTGTGTGTGTGCGTACACATTTATTTAAGTGTAGTATAGTAGCAACAATAACAATTTTAATGCCAAAATTATCCATTATCATGCAGGCATTGAGCAATAGAGATATTCACAAAAAAAGCCTAACGTATTGGTACAATGTCTAGATTAGTGTCTTATTCACTTTATCATTGCACTACATTCTGGAAGAAGTAATCAACCATAGTCTCTCCCTTCAACCTCATTGGTTGAAAATTAAACTGCATAACTACTGCTAAAAATGTGGTTGTATTAGTAGTTTAATTTTTAAAAAAGCACCCTAAAAGCATGACTGTGGCCTGGACATTACGGTCTTTAATGATCAAAACGATATGTCATCCATGCAGTGTGTTTTCATTTCATGGGAACAATAAGCTTAATGTTGAGTTCTGATGCCAGTCCTGAAACCAGATTCCTTCTGGTTGTTAGCTTGAAAGACAATCACACAACTCGCTAATTCATAATAAAAGCCGAGCTCGATTCAGGTGTCGGATAGTATTTCTCTCCCAGGATTGAGTATAACCTGCCACTCCTAGTCTATTATATATGAATGGGTATACCTTTTGCACTACGCAACTCCTTCAATAGAGTTATGAATATTTGTTTATATAGCAATAAAAGACCCTTGGATATAAAGTAAATGTTGCCCTCTGTTCTCCGACGCCAGAGACCCAGCCCTCTGGAAAGTGCTTCATAAATAGACACATGACATGGGGCCAGCTGTGTCACGTGGAGGAAGGCTTACTGCGCGTGCACAGTTACAAATGTTCACACGAAAGAGGACAGACTAGTTGGAAGTTAAGAGGGAGCGTGGCCCCTACAGACATATGCGCATGCCGCCTATACATTTGACCTGACATGCATGCATGTCCCGAGGGTGGGAACACAGTGGATGTTCCTAGAGCTCCGGCAGAAGGGAGGGGCGGTGGGCTGTGTTGTTTATTCTGTACTTCTTGTAGCGCTGTGTATCCACAGGTCACATGTTGTAACCTGTGCCTGAGTACAGCTGGGATTATATTCCCAGAGCTCGCTCTGGCACCCAGTCAAACCAGATTCCAGGAAATGGTTAGGAGGGGACAAACTCTGGAATGTTTTTACGGGGGAAGGGTGGGAGTTGCGATTGTGAATGTAGAAAAGTGGGTGTGGAGCTCATGTAACAGTACTGCAGATGATTCACATGCTCGTAAAGCTTTATATTTGTCACACACTACACGCAGGGAACAAACGCGTCACAGCCTGGTTGTTATTGGAGCTCCCACCACCACCACACAAGACCCCCAGGCCCAGATGTACTTTTCATTCAGTGTAGACACGTGTGAGCAGGGGAGAATTAAGGAGGCACTTGGAGATAAATGCGGCACGTGTTTTCTCATGGAGAGAAAGCACAAGAGACGCCTTTTCTCCAACGATTCAAGGTCCTTGAGAGGAAAACGAGCACAAGGATTTTGTTACTATAATCGAGATAATACTGCCACTCTCTTTAAACATCTCTTTAACATGACTGCTGGGCAGACATCTGACAAATAGCGGTGCCGTTCAGTAAAAAATCTCTTTCTGTGTGAACGCGACGCACATCGTGATATGAATGAATGTGGAGCGTGCCATCTCCTCGCATGGGAAATATTTTAGTTAGCAGACTTCTATGCCAAGGTATTTAGACACCCGGCTGACACAGTGATCTAATTGCAAATAAAAAAAGGAGGGAAAACTCTGAGGATCATCATATGGGAATGAGAAGAAATGTATCAAATGAATGTTTGCAATAGTAGACATTCCCACCTCTGTTTTTAGTTTGTATTACTATGATACTGTAAATAAAAAAGAATCATGTATGGCATACGAGTGGGAAAATGAGTTTGTATGCTACTTGCCCATCCTTTTAACAGATGTGATATGAATGCATAGTTAAATGCTCACCACGACAGATTGAAACCATTTAAATGTGATAAGGGCCAGAAACAACGTGACTTTGTCTGGTGCCTCTGTGGAACACAGAGGGTTAAGGTGGCTGTGCCCTGCTTCGCTTCCCTCTAACGTCTGTGGCCACGGCATTAAAGCCCTCTCTGTTCCAAACGTGATGTGCCCTAGCACTTGTTATTGTACTGCTGCTGCTGCTGCTGTTGTCTACACGGGACTGCGCAAAGAGCCTTGTGAGCCGGGCGGGAACTGTGTCAAGAGACCATGTGAGCTCCCGGTCAGGTGGCTGGCGGATAGATGGGTCTGCATGCCCGCAGCCAGTGAGGCGAGGGGGGGAGGAAGGAGGAGGAGGAAGAAGGGGAGGAGGATATATAGAGAAGAAGGGAGGAGGGGAGAGGAGGAAAGACTCGATGCTGAAAGCAAGGCAGGCAGGGAGCTGGCTGGCTGAGCCTGCACGTGAGGGGCAGGCTTTTATCTTGCAGGGAAGAACACTGTGTGCAGAACAGAGGGGGGAGAGGGGGGGGGGGGGGGGGGTGTTATGTAGAGGGGTATAGGGCATTTCCGACTGGATGACAAAGGCCTGTTTATGGCCTGTGGCACAATGTGGAATGGACAAGCATTGTATGGCTTCCACATACATTTGCTGTGTATATTATCCTGAAACACATTTTCTTAGGATGTAATACATTGTAGGCTATTGTATTATAGAAATGTAGCTTCCCTTATCAGACATAACATTTAGCCAAAGCATGATGAAGCCTTTTTTACATGATTATCTATAGAAACCGAAAGACTACACAGGTATGCGTGTCAGAGTTGTTGTCTATAGCGTTTCATTTGTCTCAACGTGTTTAGGGGGTTTGTATGTGTGTTTTTGAACGTCTGCCAAGTAAGCTCACTGGATCAAAGTAGAGCGTTGCTCAACACTGTGACTCCCACTCACGTTGTACATGTAAATACGACCCAGATGACTGAGCTTTGTGCCCCTCTCTGTTCCTCCAGGTGGCGTTATCCTGTACGCTGGCTCTTCCGGCAGCTCCAGCCCGAGTCCTGGCAGCCCCTCAAGTGGATACCAGACCCAGTCGCCCTCCTCTCACTCGCAGCCTTCCTCCCCAGAGGGTGTCTCCTTTCAGGAGATTGGGCCCCCGAAGCAGAGAGGGGAACGCAGGGGAGGGACGCCTTCCCCGAAATTGGTCTTCCAGTTTCCTGAAGGAAACAATGCTCCCGCTGCCCAAATAACCACGGTGTCGTCTGCAACCTACAGCCATCCCACAGTGGCCAAAAGACCTTGTGGTTTCACAGGAACGTTCACCAGTAAGTACCCACTCGCTTCCCTACTTCCTGTTCTCCTCTAGGTTTACCCGTCAGCACACTGTTGCTATGTTTCTGTCTCTGATGATGGTCGTGTGCTTCTTTCATAGAAACCGGAGGTATGGTGCTTCTGTGTAAGGTGTGCGGGGACATCGCCTCTGGGTTCCATTATGGCGTGCACGCCTGTGAAGGCTGCAAGGTGAGACGGCACAAAAATAGTATTATGTCACGTCTTTCTATTCACGTACGAACACGGCAGACATGTTGCCACAAAGTACACTTTAAAGCCTTTTTTTTCTTCTTCTTGTGCCTTCTCTAGGGTTTCTTCAGACGCAGTATTCAGCAGAATATCCACTACAAGATGTGTGTGAAGAATGAAAACTGTCTCATCATGCGCATGAACAGAAACCGGTGCCAGCACTGCCGCTTTAAGAAGTGTCTCTCCGTGGGCATGTCCAGAGATGGTGAGAGACTATTAAAGACGATGTTTAGACGTATGGAAACTAAAACTGAAAAAGAGAGGATTTAATGTATCCATGTATGTAGGGTTACATGGAGAATCAGATCTTTTTGCTGTAGCTTTTGACAAATTCAGATTTTAGAGTTGGAATAGTTCACAAGGAGGTTTCGCTCCTCATCACAAAACTTCATTTTCCCTTCATCTTCTTGTCTATTTTCTCTCTCCATTCCCTTCCTCTTGTCTTGCGTTCTCTCTGACGTCCTCTCTCGTTGCCCTGCTGTCTGATTTATGGCAAGACGAGCTGTAGAGTCCCAGTGGTCATCAGTCATGGAGAAACTGTGACAGATAGAGTTTATTTTGGGAAATTGGGTCGCACAGATGTTGATTATCCTGCACGTCCACCAAGATGTGACCTCGTTTCTTTTTTCAATCAATCATTTGAGACATGATGATATTCTTCTGTTATTATTGAAAAACTACAGAGCTGTGCTTGAAATATAAAATAATATTACTCCAGTTAATCTGCTCTACTGCATCATTTCACCGCAGGACTCCGATCTCTCGGGACACAGCTAAACTAGGTGATGATAAATCATGTTGTTTCTGGAGCAAACATTTATAGCTGACCTAAAAAAGCCAAAACAGGGAAGTAAAAAAAACACCTGCTTGAGATCCCAGCAGGAAACTTTATCATTGGTAACCATATTTTAATTTTGAATAATACAAAGGGAAAGTATATAGTTATTGGTTCTACTATAGACCCTCAAAGCCTTTTTTTTTATCCCATGTCTGCTTGCAAATCAATTTTATCATCCAATTCTCACAACCTTCAACCCTTTGTCTCTTCACCTCTCCCACCTGCCGCTGTCATTCTACAAATGGAATCATGTCGTGTTTAGTGTTGTTGATCCAGTGACCTACTTCCACAGAGAATAAGAGATCGAGAGCTCAATTGGAAGTTGAAAAGGAAGAGAGAGACTGGGGGAGGTGGTGTAGCATACAGCTATAAATAGGGATGTCAGTGGAGGTGCAGAATTTAAAAGGGGGGGGGCAGCAGTCTGATGAGATGAAAGCATTAGTGTCCATATCTCCACATAGAAATGACAGCCTGCGTGTCGGATGTAGAATCCATATTAGAACAAAGAGTGGTTGTTTCTCTGTATTGTTCAATCATTTGAACTGTTATGTACATGTGTTAGTTAACATGCTGCCAGTAAGGAGCTGGCAGTGATATCAATGCTAACAGAGGATGCCTCTCTCCTCCTCAGCTGTGCGTTTTGGGCGTATTCCCAAGCGGGAGAAGCAGAGACTATTGGATGAGATGCAGAGTTACATGAACAGCCTCAATGAATCAGCTTCCATGGAAATGGAGGTGTCGCCTCCAACCGACGCCGCCTGCAGTCCCCACAACCAGACGAACGAGGGAGCGGGCTCCATATCGCAGTCTTACCACAGCAACTTAATGATCAGAGACGAGAAGCCGCCCAAGATGGCCATCGGCAACAGCAACATTGGCACTTCCTCTTTCCACAGCAACTCAGCGCAGCAGCAGCAGCAGCCGTCACTGTCTCACTCAGCCACCCAGACTCACCACACAGTCCACGGGGAGCAGGCGAGCTACCACATCGCCACAGGCTGCCCCGTTTCCTCCACCAGCAATGAGAACTCCGCCATTGTCGACAACGCCAAGTACACCTTCTCCTCCAATCAGAGCCAGTGCCCCGTCAGCGGCCGCATATCATCTCAATCCTACTCAGCCAATCACAACAGCTACCCAGCCAGTGATTCCCACAACCAAAGCCCCTGTCCCTGGAAGCTGAACGGAGGAGCCAAAGTGCTGGTGAGACTTTTATTTTTTATCTTTTAATATCTGTGAATTTAATATCAATAAAAAGTCCATAATACTTATTTTCCTCTCTTCTCCCTGTCTGTGTTGCAGGCATGTCCACTCAACTCATGTCCTGTGGCTCCGGCCAGTCGCTCCAGTCAGGAGGTGTGGGAGTCTTTCTCCCAGTGCTTCACCCCCGCTGTTAAAGAAGTAGTGGAGTTTGCAAAGAGCATCCCGGGGTTCCAGTCCCTCAGCCAGCATGATCAGGTCATGCTGCTCAAATCCGGCACTTTCCAGGTACATTCCAGCTCAAAATACTTTGTTGGTGGGACTGTGGCACGTTTTCTTTACTTTCTTTCCTGTCATTTGGAGTTTTGATGCTGATCCGGTCTGGTTCTGTCCACAGGTTCTGATGGTGAGATTCTGCTCACTGTTTGACCCCAAGGAGAGGACCGTGACCTTCCTCAATGGGCAGACATACTCACTGGCATCACTCAGGGCTCTCGGGATGGGCTCCTTACTTGATGCCATGTTTGAATTCAGCGAGAAGCTGGGATCTCTGTGTCTGGAGCCAGACGAGATGGCTCTCTTCATGGCCGTCGTGCTGGTTTCTGCTGGTAAGCGGGCATACTAATACATGTACACAGAGCACATACTGTATGTGCACATTCCATCGTTTCTAAACTGGATCTCCCCCCCCCTCCTCTTTCTCCAGATCGCTCTGGTATCGTGGAGATGGCAGCTGTGGAGCAACTGCAGGAGAATCTAATAAAAGCTCTGCGCTCTCTCATCACCAGTCGCCGCCCAGACGATAGCACCCTCTTCCCAAAGTTGCTGCTACGTCTGCCGGACCTGCGCACCCTGAACAACCACCACTCTGACAAGCTTTTAGCTTTCCGCATAGATCCCTGAGTTCAACGAGCAAAAAAAGCTTCCTGAGGTATCCGCTTTGGGGAGCCTCCCTGCTCCCCCATGCGAGCCTGGCCTGCCACATACGGCCCACTGGCCTCTGCATGATGGACAGTTGTTGAGAGAGCTGTGCCCAGTCTGATGCCATGAGAGAGTGAACATTAAAAAAAAAAACAAAAAAAAAAAACAGTGAAGGACGCGGGCACAGCAGGAAGAGGAGAGGCTCCTGAACTACTTCTTCCTCCAGTTCCAGGATCGCTAAAACAAACATTAAAACACAGACTACGTTCTTCCTTGGGTGCTTCCGAGTCAACATCCAAACCACCGAGTCGCCGCCTCTCCCTCAGGGAGTTTGTGCTGAAGACCAAAAAGAAGCGAGAGCCTGTTGTTCCTCACCAGACTTTGTCCTCCGACTCCAGCACACAAAGCTAACACGAGGGAAGCACACACTCTCGCCCAGAGAAAAAGGAACATGTACAAACCTTCACCGACAACGATTTCTTACTGTACATTCATGCTACGATGTGTAAGGGGCACTTTCCATACATTAAGAAGTCCTCCTAAATCAATATATAGCATAGCAATAGAAATGTCTAATACACAGTTGGGAGGGTGCCCAGTTGAAATGACATAAGCTATTTTCACAAAATGTCTCCACGTGGGAAATCTTAATGAAAATCACCCATTTGTGATTGAGAAATGTATAACATTTTTAAGAAATGAGAGTAAATGCATTGTGTTTGTATGCGGTAATCAGGGAGCAGTTATTGGTCATTTTAGACCGTGTCTGATGGGATATATGTTGAGGTGTTTCCTTGTAAATTTTGTACATTACCTTTATTCTTGGTCCTCGTTATAGTTTGCAGATTCTTGGATATGTAAATGAAGCTAGTATTGAATTATCGTATGTATATCACACATAATAGATTGCTCTACAGACTGCAAAAGAGAAATCAGCATTTCAACCTGACAGAGTATAAACTTTTTATTTGAAGATATATAATTGAAATAAATGTGTTCTCAACTGACTGCATCACCTTGTGAATATTTTGTAAATGTTTTATGGTTGCACCATAGAGTATCATTATTAAATAATGTTATATAGCATGTTTCCTTGTGCTCATCATTTTTTTTTTTTTTTTTTCATTTCAGTATTATTACAGAGGCATACCGTGGAGCCGAAGCCTAGCAACAGAGGCAATCAGCCAATCACGCTGCAGCTCCGAGAGCCATTAGGGGCTTTATTACAAACAAGAAACGACACTTTATATGTTTGAGTGTGTGATAACGGGTCAAAGCAGTTTCATAGAATGTCACACTTCAATAAACACCAGATGTTCTTTGACTTTGTGCAGAGCAAAGACAACACGTCTCCAGGGACTAAGATGGTGTCTGTTCAGTGATCGATGCAAATATAATATAACGGCGCTGACAAGACAATTTTACTGCAGGTTGATTCGAGATGAGAGTATAAAAATGCTCCAGACAGCACAAGAAGAAGACGTCACCACTGCTACAGTCTGCTTGAAGGCCTAAGGAAAAAAACCTATTAGTATGAATGTTTGGGAACATTTTGAGTCATTGTTTGCTATGAGATGGACAGATACAGTCTGTTCACGTCAGTCAGACGTCCGATTTGAGATCTATACATAGATGCCTTAAATTACTGCTAAAATCACACAAAGACATGTACTATTTGTAATAATAGGGATTCGTGCTAAAATAAATATCCGCTCCTCGTAATTATATTGACTAAGGTTCAGGAGAACATGTGACTCACATGAATAACAGGAGACACATATCCACCAGCATATGTATTTTAATTCAGCAATAAATCACCTCCGCATCAGGGGATTCTCTGGCAGTAGCACCATATGAGTAGCCCTCGGCTCACTGCCCTTCATTTATGAGCCGAGACCAAACCAGTGTTCCAGTCTTTTCTATGTGTCGCCATGTGTCGAGGTCTTCATGTGCCACCTACTGGATAGGATTTTAACAACAGCCCATTTTGGCCATATTATGTTGTTGTTAGTGGACACAGGGATGAGTGAAACCAAAAGTCCATTCTGTCAATCAATTTCACCCATTATCGCACAACAAACGTAATGACAACAATGAGTCAGCGTCTCTGCGGTGGATCAAAGTGCATCCCAAAGGACTTAGACCAGGATCTGCATACCTGAGGTTTTAAAGTTCATTCTCAGCTGAGAAAAAAAACAATCACATGGTCCATTGAGTAGCTGATCTGGAGCTTTTCATTATATCACATGAGCAGACAGAGTTTGAGAAGTCATTATGGAATTTCAAATCTTCTAATTTCCATTTTTACAGGAATCTCGTTGTATAATTAGGGACCAACATCATTTCTCGGAAGTGAGTGTGGCTTATGTATTGTCACCAAATATCCTTTTGCTCCACTATGAGAAGTAAAAGAGACAGAAGAGGGTCGTATCCCTTTGGTCTGCTTTCTTTCCCGAGTAAAAAAAACAAAGGACAAAGGTATTTGAGTATAAAGGTTCATGCCTACTGTGTGTCTGACACACAAACGCTGACCAACATACTCTTGTCTGCTGGTTCCATCTAGTGGCTACAAGAAGGAAGTGGCAGTAAAAGTTTTATGGACTGAGGATTGGAGGAAATACAAAGCAATGGAATAAAAGTCAGTTTGTCTGTATGAATGAATGAATGAATTATTGAATCAATGAATGGATGGAAACACCGACATTGGTTTCAAACAATGTCTTGCCAGAGTAAAAGATTATTATTATTTCCCGCTAAACATGAAAGGAGCGGTATTTAAAATTATGAGCATTAATATAGCAGCAAACATCTAGGCAGTTGTAGCTCAGTCAGCACTTTCGCCATAATTAGGGCTGTTAGCACTGTTAGCACTGTTAGGACTGTTAGCACTGTTAGCTATGAGCCGCCGACCCGCCGTCAACATGTTGAGAGCCGATGAGAGGCATTAGAAATGCTCCAGACATTGTATCACACTGGATATTACAGCACTGTGTCACTACACAGCACACTTTCCACATTCATTTTTATTGGCCGTCAATGAAATGTGATCAGGGGTTGTCTTAGGTCCTCACTCTACGATCTACACTGAGACAAAACTAATTATGAAATATCACATTTCTTCAGAGCCCTGTATCCTGTCGGAGTTGTTTCTAATTGTCTTCTTGGCAAAGCATAACAAACGTAAAATCGATGAGTAAAAGTAGGTCAAAGATGGCCGTATGGTAAATCTCATTATTTGTAAAGGCTGTGTGTCTGCTCCATAATGTTCTTAACTTAAATCTCATTAGTCTGATGTGCCTGTTACAAAACTCTTACACAAAAGCATGTCACACAGTTCAAGAGATCACTGTTGTGTTGCTAAAAGCCAGTCGACGTGTTATAAGCATCACACGTGTTTTGATATTGTATTCCCACACAATATGAATATATGCAGATTATCAAATATCATCTATGTCTCTGCCCCTCATTTTCCCCCTTAAGTGGAGAAAAATAGTTATGTAATGCATATGTAATTCAGATATATAAGTCCTTTGAGTCTAATAGGATGACTAACTGTCCTGGTACACTGTTGAGGAGGTTTGTGCCAGCAATGGGAGACATAAACGACACCCCCGTTTAGCAGCAGCAGTGGTACGGTCTGGCTTTATCTCAATGTTTTGGGACTACCTGGACTTTTCTAGAGTGACCTCATTGGTCCGAGGATAGGGGTGGCGTGGGATCAGGGTTAGAGAGAGATTAACCGCATGGAGGCCTATAAAGCTTCAGTGTAATCCGCACACTGGAGACAAATTCAGAGCAACAACTAATCTACAAAACAACCTTTTGTGGTTGCAGCTCGCAGTGTTTTGGACCACACAAACCCTATTAAACTGAGATCTTCTCATATTTTGGATTTGAAAGACAAGAAAACTATTTTACTTGTGACTAATCTTCCTCATCATCAGCAACTCAAAGGTGTAAAAGGGAAAAATCATGAAGAAGGGAAAGGTATGTTCTTAACTTTCTGGCTTTAAAGGTCTACTACAGCTTTGTAAAACATATATAGTGATTTTTTACAAAGAACAATTACATTTTAATGCAATTTTTTAAGTTTGTTTGGCACAAATTATAAAGTCGTGGCTTTGAGTCGGGATAGTGGAGATATGATTCGTCTGTTTCAACCAAATAACGACGTACTGTTTGTGAAAGAGCTCATATGATGAGCTCTGTACTTACACTATAGTGTTATTTATGCCGGCTACGGAAACATGGAGGCCCATCACATCCGTCCTAATCCTTTGAACTGGAGGCTGTTTTGTGGACAAATCCGTGATAGAAAATTGTGTGCCGGAAGCTTTAACAGTAACATCAAATGTGTTATAGACTTAAGTTAAACAATAAGGTGAGAGCAAAGTCAGCACTGTGCTGGTTTGTGAGAGTACACACATTTATTTTGAACTGCACAGTGAATGCAAAGACCGTTATGCTTATCATGCATCTGATTAAAAATTGTAATGAACCTACAAAGTGTATTTCCATGCCAGCAGGTGTGTGATGATCATGAGCCCCCTAGCTACCAGGAGGCGACTGCAGGTAAAAACTGATCTCTTTACTCACGTCCACCACTTACTACATACAGCATATGCATGTTTGAGTCAAAGTATTCTTCTTTTATTATCATTACATTTATTGTTTCATTTCCAATTTGTAATCTTGACTATATAACCCTAACAACATTGCACTTGTTTAAGTTTAAAAGTTGTGAGAAGTTAGTAGAAGTCAAACCTGCCTTGTGCATAGGGACTTAATATGTCCGACTAATGCTGCAGTATCATTTTAAGGAACCATATGTGAATACTTGCTACAAAGATGAACCCTCCCGTGTCTCCTCCTTACCTTGTTCTTCAGGCTATGGGGAGATGGAGGCCCAGTTTGCGTGGGACGACAAGAACATCCGGCGGACCTTCATCCGGAAGGTAAACGTGTGACACCAGCACAGAACCAACATCACAGCTACTCTTCCATTGCTCTGATGTGTGTGTGTCTTCCTGCAGGTCTACGCCATTCTCATGGTTCAGCTGCTAGTGACCGTGGCAATTGTTGCTCTCTTCTCATTTTGGTAACGACTCTTTCGGTAACTCAAAAGTTTTACTTTCCACCACTTTGATTAATATATGAATTGAATCCATATATATTTTTGGTCTCTACAGTGCACCCGTGAGGTTTTATATCCAGACTCATCCAAGCTTGTACATGGCGTCTTAGTAAGTGAAAACACAACTCACATTATAGTCTTCTCTACGACTTTATTTATTAAGCTCCATCATCTTCATCTTCCCTTTTTCTGACAGTCTTGTGTTCTTTGCCACCTACATCGCTCTGTCCTGCTGTGGAGAGCTGAGGTAACGTAACGTACCCGACAACCCAAACATGAATCAAAGCGCACACATAATGTTGTGTGGATATGCATTCGCAAATGAAAGTGGCTTTTCTTTTTTTTTCTACCTAAACAGGAGGCAGTTTCCTTGGAATAGCATTTTGTTAGTTCTCTTTGTGAGTATTCCTCATCATGAAAACAGAATGTTCTTCTTTACGCACACACTCAACACAACTGTGGTAGTAATCTTCCCTTTTTCCCTCAGACTTTGAGCATGGCCTTCATGATGGGGTTTGTGTCGAGGTAAATATTGTCGATGTCGGCGTGTGTGTGTGTGTGTGTGTGTGTATGTGTACGTGAGTGTCTAAGACGTTGAGTGCAACTCATCCGAGGCTTTCCAGCGTAAAACGACTCCTTCTCCTCCTCCAGCTTTTACAACACCAAATCAGTGGTTCTGTGTCTGGGGATCACATCTCTGGTGTGTCTTTCCGTCACCATCTTCAGCTTCCAGACTAAGGTGAGAAGCACCTGCTTCAACTACACTTCAAACTGCTGTCAGACGACCAAACAAGCAAAATAAATCCGTCATCTGTTTGTTCTCTCTCTCACCTGCTGCAGATTGACATCACGTCCTGTCAGGGAGTGCTGTTCTCTCTGTGCATGGTCATGCTTCTCTGTGCCATCACCTTCTCCATTGTCGTCCCTTTTGGATACGTAAGTTCACGCGCACCTTTCGAGAGGAAGTCCGAGCTGTGATTTGTGATGAGTTAAACACCAGTTTGCAGGTCCTGCTGGCTGTATGTGAGCGTTACTGAGAAGGGATTAGCCTCACGGATAATCTGCTCTGTTTTTCTTAAATTAGCATCCGGCTGTCCTTCTTAACGGTGTTTTGTAACGCTTTTATTTTGCACCGCAGGTTCCCTGGTTACATGCCCTTTATGCCGTGCTCGGAGCCATCGTTTTTACTCTGGTGAGAATCACATTATGAAAACCTCATTATTGTCCATCAGAAGTTTCTACTATTACTCACCTACTCTCCTTGTTTTCTCCAGTTCCTAGCCTTTGACACCCAGCTGTTGTTAGGAAACAAGCGCTACACGATAAGTCCGGAGGAATACGTTTTTGCCACGCTCAGCCTCTACCTGGACATCATCTACCTGTTCAGCTTCCTGCTACAGATCGTGGGAGGAGGCCGCGAGTAAAGCATCTCTCCTCTGCTTTTCCACCTAGAATGTATATACACACTGTATATATATATATATATATATGTCTCTCAGCTCAACTCTTAAACTCAACAATCAACTTGGATTTATTAGCCTCATGAAGAAGATGACATCAGGGCATTACATTTCTTCATGAACCACTATTTTAAAGGTTTTATTTCCCCCGTCATGTCTCTTAAGTCACTGTGCTCTGGCTATTCCTGTGATGTTGTATCGCTCTCGGGTCTACTGTAATTACACCATCCACCATTTAAACAGTCATTAGGCTCATAAGTGGACAGCACATCAAAAACAGAGTTGAGTATGATCAGTTTGTGTGTTTATTCTTCGTTGGGCCAAAAAATAAGGTTCAACTAATCTGCACTTTTAGGTTGAGTTTGCTTTAACAACTGTTTCACAAGCTATGTACAGTAGATACTGTTTGTTTTTATACTGCTTATAATGCACATTATCAAAGATGAGAAGTACTGTATGTGTCTATGATATTTCAGTACATTTTAGCATGGGTGTTGTTGTGGGGGAAACACTGTTTGAGTGAAACCTGAAGGATTTCAACTTAGACTTTTAAAGCTAAGATGCAACACCAAACAAAGGGAAAATGTGTGTGTGTGTGTGTGTGTGTGTATGTGTGTGTGTGTGTGTGTGTGTGGCATCAGATACACTTCAACAACATACTTTAGTTACTAGACATCAGTCGCAATTTCTATTGTAACTCTAATGTGGCCTTTGTGATAAGATAGAAAATAATGTAAACAGGTTGATGAGAACACGAGTGTTGCAAGTTGATATTGGTTTTCTAAGAACAATGAGCTGTGTCCGTTTGATTCTGGAAATATTAAAATAAAAGTGAAAAGTTCTGTGTCTTAAATGTGTAAGATGATGAGCGGTGGTAATTATGATTAAGTGTAATTATAGGATTTACGGATAATTTCCTGTGGCTCAAGTAACCTGTATCGTAAAGAAAAAAGTAACGCCTGCACACTACTCCATGACACAGTTGTATTGACTTCATCCACAGTAAAACAGTAATACAAAAACCATACTTCCAAATATCAAATATATGTTCTTTACCAAGTAACCTGAATCCTCATAAACAGCCCTGATACTATACTTCTACCATCTACTCCTCTAGTACAATGTGGTAACTACTGTCACCTTCCGTGTTAGCCCTCCACACACACCTCTAATCATCACACTGACATCTAATCTACTCGGCGCTGATGAATCATCGTAGAGCTTCATCGATCACTGCTGCATCACATAACTTTGCTGAGGATTGGATCTCAGCCTTCACCCAGCGTGGACGGGATGACGGAGAAGTGTTACAAACACAAACACTCAGCTCCACTGCCTCAGTAAATGTGGAAAGCTCCATGTCAACATGGACTGCAGTCCACACTGTCCTCCAGCCTGTGTGCAAACATGTAGTGTGATGTCAGTTTATAGGAGATTATTTATATATATATATATATATATAATATATATATATATATATTTTATGGTTGTCCTAAAAAGCTATTATTCAAATGTTCCTCCAAAACTGGACAAAGAGGTGACTTGCCAACAGCTTTTTAACAATGATTAAGTACTGGTAACCCATCATCTTTAAAAACACACCCACACACACACACACACACACCAATGGTCACAGCTCCTATGGATTTATATAAGTTACTAAAACTATTGTTTAAAGAGGTAGAACTACTTGATCTGCGCTCACAAATAACTAACGTTACAGACCAAACAAACATGCACAGAAACACTCAGCCTTATTATTTCCACTTACGTTCTGTCAAGAATTCATGCAACTTGCCAAGATAAATCCTCCATATGATTTTGTGTCTGGTGCAAACACACCTCACACATCGAACACAAAGTTAGATGACTTCACAGTGTACCGGTATACTTCACAAAGGCAAACTTTAACCGCACCTGCACTGTGATTAATAAATGACTTTAAAATGTGATCTATGCACACTGATAAATCACTGCAGCACCGTGTAGTAGGTTCAATCTGTTGGTGAATTTCTTTGATAAATCACAATTTATCAAATCTAAATGACTGTAAAGTTACTTTACCTAGCACCTGTACCCTCTTCAGGCTAGCATTAGCTTTCCAATTAAATTAGCCCAAAGAAAACAAGCAAGCTGTCTCACCTTAAAAGAGTTGTGTATCTGGTCTTCCTCTCCATGCAGAAGCTCCACCACATAATGTTACAAATATCCAGGGCACAGCTCATCTTGTGATAGTTCATTCATTCATTAAGCCACAACTTGGAGAAGGAGTGCTCACAGTTGTACACAAGTGAGTTGCTTGTTTCTTTAGGGGGCCGCTGTCACATTAGCAGGATTAGCTTAGCAGCTATTGTAATGCTAACTTTCTCACACGGTCTCGCTGTTTTCTGCCCCCGATTTGGCCTCAAAAGCTGTGCTTTCGCCGTCTTCTTTAGTATTCTTGCTGTAGTTGTTCGTTACTTAAGTTTCTTTTCTTCTGAAAAAGTTTTCAAGTTTCGCTAGTCTTGGTGATGGCTAATCAGTAATCAACCGGTAGGAGCGCAGTGTTCATTACGCCAAGTTTGTGCAGCAGCGCCCCCGTGTGGCGGGGAGAGCTACACAGAATAGCTCAATAATATGTGAGAGCTGAAGTCTTTCGTTTTCTGCAGTAAGTATCAGGACAGCTCTTTTTTTAACCCAGTGCAGTGACCAGCTTTGATAGATTACAGCATGTGAGCGGACACGTGTCTCTCTGTCACATACTTGAGAATAAGCACTCATCTGTAGTGTCAAATCAATTATTTATATCAATCTGGCAAATAACACATTGTTTTGAAATTGGGCTTTACAAATTAATCATTATATTTTTATTATTTCAATATGTAAATTGCTGTGATATTTATATTATTGATAAAAGAATGTCACTTTGCATTTAACTTTTGTCGATACAGCCCTCATACTGTATTGCTGATAAATTAATAAAATTAAAATAAAAAAATAAAATTAGCATCTTTACTCAGCACAGTCCTTTACTGCCTTATCTTTGACACTTTTTTTTCTTTCTTCAAAAACTTAAAATGTGCAGACGAGTTTGCAGTATTTTCCTCTGAGAGGAATTTACACCTTTGGACTTCAGTCCCTCACAATCCGTAACAAAAGGTGGATTTAGAAAATGGACAGTCGGCTTTGACCTATTGAGATACACACGCCCTCTGAGTTATGATGACACATGCCGGCACAGTAACTATCAATACAGCTGAAGCAACAACAGCAGGTAATGACCCAGATGATGTCAATAGTGCATCTTACAGTTACCGTACATCAAAAACACAGTTCACCGAATCACTGAAACAAGATTTTTATTTGAAAAAAAAAAAAGGGAAAATGACATATTCAAATTCAAAGAGAAAACCAAAAAGGAAGGAAAATCTTATCTCAATCAATAAAAAAAACACAAGTTACAGACAATTTAGCAACTCTGGCACAGGAAGACAAAAGTAGCCAAGTGGCTTTGCAAAATAACCAAATATCAAAACCTATTTCCTCTTAACAAAACTGTACAAAATGAGTTCTTGTATAAATAAGAAAACTGTTCACAAGCAGGGAGCAAGATGAGCCCGTCAGATTCTCAAAATGTCTGGTATTCACACGAACATGGTTCATAGTGTGGAGCAACACGTTTTTATTATTTTGTATTACAAAATGTCACCATAAGACAACATTCACGAGTTTTAATAATGTAAAATACAACTTTAACTGCTCATTAGTAAAACAGAATTAAAATCATGAAGTTATGACTGAAAATCAAACAAATTAGGGATACTCAAACAAATTAAAATTAAATAGGGACATTTTGAAAATTCTGAGTGGGCAACATCAAACCACCTGTTTGGAAATCCTTTTTTAGCAGCAAAACATTTTGAAGCTATGAAATAAGACATCAAATCTACATTAAAATGGACACAAAGAGCATTTTCAAATTGGTGTGGACCAAAAATAATAAGTGCAACTAGATTTTTCTATTTTCAAATATTGTGTGTGGAGCACACCGTTGATCTCAGCATTTCTACAGTTTAACTGTAACTTCTATACTTTTTATGATTCTAATACATTTTGGAGCAACATGACTTCCTGTAATATTATCTTAGCTGACAAGTTTGTAAAAAAATTAGAAATAAAATAAATAAACACGTCATTGTAACAAGTGGTCATTTCATAGTTTCAAAATCCTGTTTTTGTATTAACGTGATGGCTAATACATGGAATAGCATTTCTCTGAACATATAAACAACATCCATGACATTTCCTTCATGGGGCACTGAATCTGAAAACCTTGCAAGTCACTATGTTATCTGGACAGGATATAAATCATTAAAAAAATAAAACGCACACAAAGAAACAAACAAGAAAGTGGAAGGGGGGAAAAAAAGACTATTTACAAAATTAGCTCTCGTGTCTGTAAACTGTCACCATCGTAAAAGCTCTGGAGGTCTCCTGGGTGTCTGCAGAGGCCAATAAAGTTCATAATGAGTCTGTTTACACACGCACCAACACTCCATTACGTCTACGGAGGGAAACTCAGCTTAATTAACTCATGTCAACAAAACCAGATCATTTACATGTACTTTACTATACGACAGAGTAGTGGCAAAAAGTTCTCACAAAATCTTAACCGGTGGTCTTAATGTGGGAAATTGTGTGCACGTCACCACCCTCGTTGTGATATTTCCCTTTCTGAATCTGTCGGAAGCAGAAAAAAAAAAGGCTTTTCATCCAGCAACACACGACACACGACCGTCTACAAATGAGAGCAGTTTAACTGTGACAGAGAGCTAAAAGACGGGTGGCTACAACATCTTTGGTTGCGGAAATAAACAATAGAAACACACACAGCAAAAAGTTGACGTGTGGGAAAAAAAAAAAAAAAAAAAAAGAGTTAGAAACAGAATCATCAAACTGCGAGCCTTAAGAAAGACGTTTTCACACTGTGTTTATCACTGGACTCAAACATGGATGGTTGAAGCTCCTCGTAACCCTACGCTAACTCCACCGACGTGACGACTAACTCGATGGCATTCAAACGAGCCTATTGCCATTTCTGTAGTATATACAACTTAGTGTCAATCCTATGAGAGGTCAGGCAGTTCATCCAGAGAAAACAATTAAGGCTTAGCTAAAACTTGTTTTTGCAGAATTTTGGATCACTCCTAAATTCATTCAGGCTGTCTCACTAAAGGCTGTAAGAATCGTCTTTAATGGCACTTCCATGGTCTAGTGAGCAGTCCTTTGTTAAACCATTATTTCTATTATCTACATATCTACAGTTTTTGATGTCTGCATAAATTAAAGTTCAACATATTTGGATGCACTGTGACATGGGCTCCACTTGATAAAGTGAAACATATCCGGAGCTTGTGTGCGCGAAGCCTCTTTGAGCATCACCACGGATGCAGCATCAGTTTGAATCTTTTGGATCAGCACTATATGAAGGTATTGTTTGGTTCAACTGTCCACTCAGAAAGGCTTTCTACAAACAGGCCCGACACAGTGTGAGGACAGACGACACAAGGTTTGGAACGGAAATTCGAGTGGAAAAAAAAAAACAAGAGAAAAAGTGATGTGCACAAAAAAACAGCATCGATCCCTACGCAGAGACAAAAGAAACTAATGTCTACTCTCTGTAAAAAGCTAAAAACCTACAGCTAAATCTAATCTACTTCAAAGATAAATTCATCAAAAATAAGGCAAATTAGCTCAAAAAGTTTTCAAGTGACAGACAAAAGAAAAACAGAAACATTTAACTTTCTACAAACTAAAAATCACTGACAGATAATCAAACTCAAGGGACAACAGCAGCATTGAAAAAAGACTTACAGCTCCCTCTCCTTCCAAACTAATTATTCTCAGGGATCGTGTTAGTCTCCTATTTGATTTCCCTCATCGCTTTTGCTAAGCTACATCTTAATTTAGTAACTGCATTGTTCTTTGTACACATAATCTTTCAGTAATCGAACTGCTCAGATCTAAAGCACGCTCATTTCATTCCTCCGACAGAGGATGAATTTAATGACACCTGAAGGTTTGCCAAAGCAAAACCGCTTAAAACCACTTCTCATGGACACGGACGTAACATGGAGTTACATCATAACAAAACAGGACGACTATTAGTATGAACACTTAATGGTGCATACGGGACTTGAACTGAATTGAAAGTCATCAAAACTGCCAATGAGCCGAATATTAGAGCTCATCGTTAATGCGCAGGGTTAAGTCAGTTTCACCACGTCTTTATAGACTACAGTATTAAATAACTTATTTCCAAGAAATGTTTGTTCCAATGATCTCAAAACTCTCAAAAGAAAGAAATATTACTATAATTCAAATATAAATAGAAATAATTGATTGTCTTTTGTTCACTTATGGAAGAATGTAAAAAAAAAAAAGAAGAAGATTTCAACTAAACTATAAACATTGTTATAATCATCTGTGCGTGAATAGAAATCTCTGCAGCAGTTACAGGAAGAAGTAGCTTTAAACGGTTTGCCTCCGACACATCAGACCAGCAAAAAATGTTCTTTTTAAGTTTTTGAATCTGTACAAATGGATTCCTCCGCTGCTGCAAATAGAACGTCAAACAACAGACATCAGGAAATAAAAATAAAAAATTTGCATATTTTACAAAAAAATAAAAGACACATTGTATTTCAACTCTTCTTTGAATCACCCTGAAATGTCCAGAATGCTTTTTTCGTGTTAAAAATAAGAATTTGTTATATTACGTGCACAAAAATAATGCTCTGTGTCTTTCCTCCTCTCTTAAGGTTTTATTTTCTTAGTTTTCTTTTTAACTTCTTGTTATGTTCCTTTTTTTTCCAGATATCAAAATAGATCAAAGCTTCTGTAAAGAAGATTCCCACCTTTGGTTGATCAACTCTTGAGGATGTGAGCAGGAAAGTCCAATGACATAAGTGTTGTCCTTTTTCTTTCAAAAAAAAAAAAAATACAGACACACACACACACACACACACACACACACACACACACACAAACAAACAAACAAACACAGACACACACACATGTTCCTTTTGTTATCCATGTTCAAGTCCGGGTGCTTGGTGATGTATGGAGCACAGTTCAGCTGAATCCTGTTTGGTTGGATTCATCTCGTGCTCTCAGCCCCACCCTGCTGGGAGCTGCAACACACACACACACACACA